GCCTGAGTCTCAGACGCATTGCAAAGGGAACGCGCACTGTCCAAGGGCGGAGCGGGACACTCGGACACACGCATCTGTGCAGTGTGCAGTGTGTCTAACTGTGTAACTCTGTGTGTGTGTGTGTGTGTGTGTGTGTGTGTGTCTGTCACGGGCGCGGGGAGTAGATTTGAGCGACAGCAGGTCCGCAGCCAGCGCTCATGGATGACACTGGCTTACGAGAGCTCCTCATGGACCACGTCAGGAGGGTTTGCGTTGGGACGCAGTTCTATGGTTTGCCTGAACAATTGGCGCGGCGGCATTTGAAACAGCTGGCCCAATCGGCATCCATTGCATCTTTGCACTCTGCTGGCTCTGATCAACTGCTGCAGCTGCAGCTGCCATCCATGGATCTCGAACTTGAGCGGTGTCCTCAGTCCTCAGTGCCCAGTGACTGTGAAAGTGATGTGGCAGTCAGTGGCTAGTGGTCGAGTCGAACCCACTTCCCACTCCCTACTCAGAATCAGCTCTGGTCATAAGTCCAGCTTTTCTGTCCTTGACGCCTAGCACCTGGCGCCCCCCTGAGCCTCAGTCCACGCAGGGTCACAGGGTGACGCAGGGATTGCATGATTCGTGAATTCATGAGAGCTGCCAAGGAATCCGGATATCGCCTGCTGTGTGGGATCAGCATTGGCAACTGCGCCAACGATGTGGGACATGAGCCCCGTCGCTTCTGGTCCAATTGCGTTCAGCGGCGGAGGCTACATGATCTTCAGGGTCTGGGCCCGAGTCCCGGTCCCGAGTCCGAGTATTTGTATTTGTGCTTTCAGACTTGAGTCTTGGGCCTTGGGCCTTGGGGCTTTAGTTTTAGTTTGGCGCCGGCCCTGGGCCCTTCAATTGAGTCAACATTAAGGAAACCCTGTGAACGCTGTAAAGTTCGTAGATTCGGGATGTTGCTTGACCTGAACAAGTTCACCCCAGGCCCCAAACACAACTAATCAACGCTGTGATTCTGATGATGCAGATGGATCCCTGCAGCCTGCAGATCCGCAAACCCCCGACCCAACGGACATCATCTCGAAGCGGCGATGCATCAACTTGGCATGTTGCGGCAATCTGAAGAGGAGATGAAGGAAGGAAGGAAGAGGAAGGAAGGAAGAGGAAGGAAGGAAGAGGAAGGAAGGAAGAGGAAGGAAGGAAGGAAGGAAGGAAGGAAGGAGTGTGTCGATGATTCGCGGTTCGCGGTGTTCGCGGCATGCGTTGCGCAATTGCGGAGCCCAGATGCGTTGGCGTTGGCTCATGCTTTGGGCTTTGGGGGTTCTGGGCCAATTTTTGGGTCTTCAAAGGCAAAGGTTCTTCATGACTTGGGCCCGTGCCGTTTCATACTGGTACTTTCATACTATCGGAATCGGACCGAATCGGACCTGATGCTTTTGGGGGTTTTGTGAGTTTTGTGGTCCTTCGCCGCATGACGTTGTTTGCTTGCAAGCGTGCCCGCGAGCCCCCCCCCCCCCCCCCCCATCCCTCCTACTTTATAATGTATTGGACGGGGGGTGGTTACCGGGTGGTTGGGGGGTCCGATGCATTACTGCCTGGGTTTGCTAGGAATAGCGAGACTGGAAATGTATTGGCTGACCCTCCCCAAACCCCAAACCCCAAACCCCAAACCCCAAACCCCAATCCCCAAACCCGAAACCCTAAACCCTAAATCCTAAAGCCTGGCCTGAATCCTAAACGCTAAGCCCTAAACCCTAACCTTAAGCCCTAAACCCTAAACCCTCAACCCTAAACCCTAGACCTTAACCCCTAAACCCTAAACCCGAAACCCTACCAGCCAAAAAGTGCGTGAGCTGTGCAAGCAAAGGATGCCTCATCTGCATGCCTTAGCATTTAGCATGGCTGCCAATCCCTACTACCTACTGCAGATTTGCCCCCAGAGGGGGGTTCCAATACATTAAAACCATTGCGTACTGTATTCGTTGGGCGGTACACCACTACTAGGCGGCAGCATCCTACTTTATAATGTATTGGACGGGGGGGGTGGTTGGGGGTCCGGTCCGATGCATTCCTGCCTGGGCTTCCTAGGTCCTAGGAATAGCGAGACAAGAAATGTATTGGCTGACCCTCCCCAAACCCTAAACCCGAAACCCGAAGCCCTAAGCCCTAAACTTCTAAACCCTAAACACCCTGTATCCTAAACCCTAAACCCCAAAGCCTAAACCCTAAACCTAAACCTAAACCTAAACCCTAAACGTAAGCCCTAAACCCGAAACCAAAACTCTAAGCCTTCAACCCTAAACTCTAAACCCTAAACCCTAATCCACCCCAGACCCTAAACCCAAAACCCTACCAACCAAAAATGCGTGAGCTGTGCAAGCCTAGCAGAAGGCTGCCTCATCTGCATGTCTGGTGTAATGTATTCCACGGGCGGGGGGGTGATGCGTACACCACTACTGGGAGGGATCCCCCCCCCCCCCCCCCAAGTCCCCAAGAGCCTTAGGGGCCCTGGGGCCCGGTCGACTTGCGCAGTGCGTTGCGTGATGTCAGGTAATTCATTCCTCACCATCGAGATACAAACGTCCGCATGGCGTCCGTGGCCTGGACGAAAATCACATTGTGGTCAAAGTGTACGAGCATGTGCGACTTGCCAGCAGCCAGCAACAGTCTGCAGTCTGCACGGAATAAAGGGGGAATCGGCGTCGGAAGTGGATAATCAGTGCAGCGTTTAGTGTTTCAGTTTCAGTGTTCAGTGTTCAGGGCCGGGCCGGGCAGGGTCCGGTCCTTTCTGATCGCCGCGGCTGATGACTGATGATTGGTTACGGTTGCCCAGTCTACTGATTGCTGTGTGGCTTTGTTGTTTTGTTTTTGGCTTTCGCCAGTAAACTGAACTTGCAGCAGCAGCAGCCTCCAGGTCACCCGACTCTGTTACCGAACCTGGCAAGGCCAGGGGCGATTCTCAGTCTCAGACCGAGACATCTGAGACAGAGACATGGATCGTTTCCAACCAGCATGCCTCCTCATTGAGTGTGTGGACAGCCTTTGAGTCCTATGACCTGGATTGCCAGCAGATTATGGACGGCTTGGTCTCGTTTACCTGTGAGCCCATCATCGCCATCTCAGTGCTGACAAACGTGCTGAAAGTCCCGGAGGATTTCAAGGAGGAGTCGCAGCATCTTCTAAAAACATATGTGAGCAGAGCTGCTTTTGCAGGGTCTGAAATTCACATGCCCGCTCCAAGCGCGAGATTCGCGCAAGCTCACGGGTTTCTCCTGAAGGTTGGGGCAATCGAAAAGAGCGCGGCGTCGGCCCCGGCGTCTGCGTCGCTTTCAGCCACAGGATATCAACTGACAGACGCATTTGTGCCTGGGCCTGCGATAAACTGATTCACTGATGCATGATATGATGGCCCAATGCCAATGATGGCATGATATGATGGCATGACTATGACGATGCACAATGCACAATGCACGGGCTTGGCTTAGGCTTGGCTTAGTGATTTCAGCGTGGTCTGCCGGTCTGTCACTGCCGGCCGTTTGGATAAGTTTCGGGAAAGTTTCGGGAATCTGCTTCAACTTCAGCTCAACATGTTTCAATTTCAATTGCGAAATTGCGAATGCAGCTGCAGTTGTGTCGTGTTGTGTTTGTTTGCAAAGTTTGCAGCTTTCGAACTTTCGAGACTAAGGTGCAAATGCTGCGCACAAACTTCAAACTGGGCCACCCTCGCCAGGTCTGCGCTGCCCGCGAACCTTGGATCAACTTGTGCATGTGGTGTCTGGCGTGTTGCAAGTCGCAATGGGGCTTACATGGCTTGGGGTAACCCACTCCTCTACTTTCACTTTCATGATACTTTCATGATGCGGGTTCGCGCTGCACTGCGCCGGACCCCGGAGCCCGAAAACCCTCAACCCATGGCCCATGGCCCATGACCCACAACCACAAAAACCATTCCTCATTAGGATATAGGGTTTTAGGATTAGGGCCTGGGACTCTAAGACGTATACGGGCCTACGGGCCAGGGTTCCGTGTTTGCGTCAGTAAAGTAAGGACGATGCCGATCCAGTCGAGATGACCATTCTGGAGCTGTTCAAGCATCTGTGCACGGCTGGCTGGACACATGCCCCTTAACTTGAATCATTAATCTGTTTCAGATTGTCAGGTCGATCACGTTCTCGCCACACACAGCACGTGCGCTCTGTGCAAACATTAGCTTAAGCATCTTTTGTGCCCCGACTCTCGTGTGCTTGGTGTAGCTCAATTCCCTTGGTGCCCATGGTCTGGGTTTGGGTCGAGCCGGGGGAAGTGGGAAGTCCGTGCGGCCAACATGACTACGCGGAGTACGTGGAGGTCCTGGAGGAGCATCCGTGAGCCGTGAGCGCCGGGCGCCGGGGGCTTTTCATGGCAGACATATCACAGCAGCCAGCATATAGCTCTTAAGCAAGCAAAGAAACACACTGGCAGCTGGCAGACTAGAGTACGTCAGCATACCGCATTATCCATATGCAGCGCAGCTCTGCCGGCTTCAGAACTTCAGAACTTCAGATCGCGAGTTTGCAAAAAAACTGCAAGTACATGTTCTGCGTTATGTGCATTGACTGCCCCATGCAACCGAACCCGGCGGGCCCCCACAATAATGACATCATCCGAGGTTGTGTGCGCCAAACTGGCTCGCTCTCAGTCACTTCACCAGACTGACACTCCGAGAAACTTCTACACCATCGGCCAGCTGAAAGCAACCGAAACGGTTCGGTGCTATATGCTGGTGCTGTCGAAGGCCGATGCCCTCCTGGCCGCAGGCGCACCAGGCATCGCGCACTTTGCCTCCCTCGCCTACTATCGAGCTTTGCTTCTTCTGCCACATCTACGTCTACAGGAATGTGTGCCTGGCAGAAAGGTATCTTGTCCATGCAATCATCAGCAGCGCAATCGCGCAATCCTTGACTTGATTGAAATTCCATAGTGATTAAACTAACGAAACCCTGTAGCCCTGTATCCCTGTTCTTTAAGCCCTGAGTCCTGAGCACGAAATGGACCGAAACAACAAGAAGCCCCAATCTGGCCAGGCAGCCTTCTACCAGGCTTTGGTCAACCCCGGTGGCGACGGCGGTGGCGCTGGCAAGACTAAGCGCAAGCGTGCTGGCGATGAGCTTGTCCTCCGTTTGCCAGAACGAGCAGTCGAGGGGCTCGATGACAGGCAAGGCAATCGCTTGAAGCGTGGTCCTGGCCATGAAAGGGTGCGCCGAAGAATCCAAGGAAGCGGCTGCGGCGGCGGCACCGGTGACGGCTCAGAGTCGGAGACATCGTGGTGGCGCGTACATGACTCCGAGTCCGACGAGGCATGTGAAGGCCAGGACCAGGACCAGAGTGACCAGAGGCCCGGGGGTGAAGGCGAAGGGGCGGTTTCAGGGGCTGATTAGGGTTTGTTTAGGTTTTAGGCTTTAGGGTTTCGGGTTTAGCGCTTAGGGATTTGTTACGGGCTTAGGGTCCGTAATCTTTAGGGTGTAGGGTTAAGTTTTAGGGTTTCGGGTCCGGGTAACTAAGTAACTATGCGCTTAAAGCGCAGTAAGGGAGGAACTTAGCCCAGGGGCCCAGCCCCGGGGGCCCCCGGTTCAGCTCAGGGCTTGGGGCTTGGGGCTTGGGGCTTGGGGCTTGGGATCCGAGCGGTGGCCCAGCGGTAGGCGGTAGCCCTTCCCTCAACTCTAAACTCGGCTGTTGCCCTGATGCCTGAGGCCCTCAACGCCAAACGCCCTGCCCTAAACCCGAGGCGGCAGCGTGGGCCTCGAAGCCGAAAAAAGGAATATTCTGGTGGCGGTGGGGGCCCGGGTGACGGCGACGGCCGTGATAATGGCAGAGAGCTCGATGGCAATGGTTATGACGCCAAGGCCGGGGCCGTGATCGATCTGGTGTGGGACTCGGACAATGACAATGACGACAAGGACTCGGACTTGGCGGCTCCGCCAGCTGGCACTGATGCTGACGACGACGAGTACGAGACCCAGACCCAGAACGGCCAGAACGGTTGCCAGAACGAGGACGAGAAAACAGACCGTCCGGACTCTGCCGATGATGCGGCCGAGGAGGACCAGGATGATGATGAGGATGTGCTGGCAAGGCTTATCGAAGAGAACCTGACTTCGAGGTTTGAGGCTGCGGCTGCAGCCGAGGCAGCCGAGGCCGAGGCAGCAGCCAACGCCTAAACTCTAGACTCTCTAGTCTCTAGCCTCTATATAGACTGTAAAGCCTAATAAGCCTAAACCCTAAATTTACATTTAACCCTAAACTCCTCAACCCTATTAAACCCCAAGCCCTAAACCTAAACCGCCTGAACCCCGGCCCGGCCCAAACCCCAAGCGGCCCCCGCCCCCGGCCCCAGCCACAAACTTCCAAACTTTAACACTTATTAAACTTAAACTTAACCTAAACTTAAAATCCTAAGTCCCGAAGGCCCGAAGTGGCCGAAGGCCCTAGGGTTCTCAACTAACCCTGGGACCCTGAGGCAGCCGAGACAGCCGAGCATGAGCAGGTTCAAGGCGAGGCAGACTCATTGCCGTTGGATGATACTGATCATCATGATACTTCTGCAGCACAAGCAGCAGATGTCGGCATGCAAGTGACAGCCACAGCAGCAGACGTCGGTCGCCGCAATCGTCCATCTGCAGCTGCTGAGATGGAGATTGGAGCCGGACCTGCCCCTGGAAGTTCACCAGTGGCTCCAACAAAGACTCCAAAGAAGATGAAGACTGCCAGTGCCAGTGCCAGTGCCAGCGCTAGGGACACTGGAGTCACTGGAGCCGATGCAGGCGAGAGGAGTGGGCGGCGGCGGAGTGGGCGCAGTGAGGGAAAAAGGGCCCCGGCTGCCAGCGCCGGCGCTGCCGGCGCTGCCGCCAGGGCCAGTGCCAGTGCCGCCGCGGCCGCCGCTGCTGGCAGACATGGTGCGCGTGATGGTCATGGCCATGGCAGCAGCCGGGGAAAGAAGGTGCCACTGCGGAAGCTCGCTGCTGACTATGCTGGCCGTACACTGCCAGGTTCTGCATCCATGGTGAACGAGCGCACCGCCTTCTTTGGCGATTTCGTTATCGGCTATCGTGCAGATCGGAACTGCTATGTGGCCAAGTGCCCTGTGCACTCGCACAAGAGCGATGGGAAGACACATCAGCGCGCATCCTAGTCGGGAGCAGTTGGCAGTTGGTCTGAGAGAGTGCGTGAGTCAGCTGCCCATCGATCAGCCCATTTGTTGCCCACGACACATGCTAGGTGCACGCGAACTATGACGGTCTACGATGACAATCACGACGAGATTGTGCGCAGACTCAAGCGGTGGTGCGCTGAAGGATCCAGTTGTCCACATTCATGCAATTATTTATCTAAATTCTAAAGATATGTGTTAGTCCACACAAAAAGTAAGACGACGGCAAAACGACAGAGGGACGACGGTGGGACGACCCTGTCGATCTCTAGAACTTAGATAAGCAACCCCGCCCCCCGCCGCCGCCCCCAAGCACCCAGGCCCCAAATCCGGACCCTCAACCGCCTCAACCCGAAACTCCCTAAACCCTAAACTTAACCGGTTGATTCAGGCGTGTCCCAAACAGATCCCTGTTCCGCGGTTCTGGGTTTTGCGTCTGCGATTGCGATTGTTCAGGATTCCAGCTGGGTGTTGGCAAGCCCGCAGAAGATGCCCGGAAGGAGCACATGGCATTCAAGGACGATGTGTGTTTGTGTCTGGGCAGGGCGGGCAGGCCTGGAGGCCTACAGACAATAGACTACTACAGACTCCAGACTCCAGACTTTAACTACTAACAACCAGGGTTGTGCATGGCATGAAGCCCGAAGCCTCAGCCTAAGCCCTCTTTGTCTCTGACTCTGGCCCTCTGCCCGACTGGTCAAATGCTTCTTGAAGAGCTTTGCGGTCGCGCGGTCACGCTGTCCTCTGTCACATGAACTGTCTGAGTCTGAAGTCTGAACTGTCATTGTTGACCAGTGATTGTTGTTGGCTTCTATCTCTCTCTCTCTCTCTCTCTCTCTCTCTCTCTCTCTCTCTCTCTCCAGGACACACTGCCCCTGCCAGAGTTGCTGCAGATCGACTTTTCCCTTCTGGAAGAGAACATGCCGACGTGCGAGGCTTAACAGCAGCACATGTGGTTTTGACTGCAGAGGTTTGGTGGTGTAGTAGTTTGTTGGAATGCTGTTCTGAGGACACACGTTCCTGCGCACCTGGTGTAATGCTGGATTCCACTGGGTGATCAGGAAGGTGGGAAGGGCCAGCCCGTTCGTAACAGCTTGTAGCATACAGTTGTTATAGCACTTCCATCTTGATCTTGATCCCTGGACCCCTGACCTGACTCTGTTTGCTCTGCGGTTCTGTGAAGTTCTGTGTCTGCAAACGTTTAGGATTGCAGCTGGGCTGGGGCTTGGTCCAATTTGGATCTCATGCACTGCGCTGGCCCGAAGTCCGAAGCCATGCGCTCTCTGCCTCTCCGCCCGCCCCTCTGTCGAATTATCAGGGGGATGGCCATGGCAAGCAGTGGCAAGCAACATTGTTTAGCGCAGCTTGTAGCTGATGCAGTTGGCAGTCGTCGTAGCGTCTCGATCTCGATTCCTAGGACACACGTTCCTACCCACATGGCCACCTGGTCCTGGTCATGGTCCTTTAACAATCGCTGGACTGGATGCTGTGATCAGCAGGAGGCAGGTGGGAATTGGCAATGGCAATTGGCAATGGCAAGCAGCGTCGTTGTAGCACAGCTTCTATTCTATGCAACATAATGCAACATAGCTTGTGCGCCGGTGTTTCCAGCGGCGCGGGTGGGGCATTACAGTGGCGTCGACAAGTCGACAACACCGACATGTTTTTATAGTGATGACACGGAGATTTTTTTAGTGATGACACGGAGACGGACATTGACGGGCATTGCTTACCGGTCTGCCGGTTGTCAATCAACATCGGCGTGTCAATTTCGTTTACGTTCTTTATCTACCTATTTTTTCAAGTTCTGAACAAGTGATTTGTTAAATATTTTTTGTTTTAGGTGTCATCAGCATGTTTTTTCGTTGAAACCATGCACCCTGCCGCGACACCATACCACCCGAACGAACTCCGAACGAACCCATGAAACCACATGCCTCTCATGCTCTGTTTTGTTGTTTTGAAGTTGTTTTTGTTGTGCAAAACAACGTTTCGTTGCATGAGAACATGTTTTTTTGTTGTTAAAAAACGCGACCTCATGCACCAACATCATGTTTTTCAATCAAAAAACAACTTCAAAACAACAAACCAAGGCATGAGAAGCAGGTGGTTGGATGAGTTCGTTCGGAGTTCGTTCGGGTGGTATGGTTTCGCTCCTGGGGGGCGGTTTCAACATCAAAACATGCCAATGATACAACAAACTCAAACAAATAGATAAAGGCAAAAAAACAAAACAACCGAACATGCAAAAAAAAGTGGAATATGCTGAAAAAAAATTCGCGAGCGCTCACGCGTAGGGGGCCCGCCCCCCAATGGACAAAGGTTGAAAAAACATGGCGAGCAGCGCTCCTGCGGCGCAGGGCATAGGGTAGGGGGTCCAGGACCGGAAAATGCTAAAAAAAATTCGCGAGCGCTCACGCGTAGGGGGCCCGCCCCCCAATGGACAAAGGTTGAAAAACATGGCGAGCAGCGCTCCTGCGGCGCAGGGCATAGGGTAGGGGGTCCAGGACCGGAAAATGCTAAAAAAAAATTCGCGAGCGCTCACGCGTAGGGGGCCCGCCCCCCAATGGACAATGGTTGAAAAACATGGCGAGCAGCGCTCATGTGGCGCAGGGGCCGCAGGGGTATAGAGTATAGGGGGTCCAGGCTGGGACCGGAAGATGCTAGAAAAAAATTCGCGAGCGCTCCCGCGTAGGGGGCCCGCCCCCCAATGGACAAAGGTTGAAAAACATGGTGAGCAGCGCTCCTGCGGCGCAGGGCATAGGGTAGGGGGTCCAGGACCGGAAAATGCTAAAAAAAATTCGCGAGCGCTCACGCGTAGGGGGCCCGCCCCCCAATGGACAAAGGTTGAAAAACATGGCGAGCAGCGCTCCTGCGGCGCAGGGCATAGGGTAGGGGGTCCAGGACCGGAAAATGCTAAAAAAAAATTCGCGAGCGCTCACGCGTAGGGGGCCCGCCCCCCAATGGACAATGGTTGAAAAACATGGCGAGCAGCGCTCATGTGGCGCAGGGGCCGCAGGGGTATAGAGTATAGGGGGTCCAGGCTGGGACCGGAAGATGCTAGAAAAAAATTCGCGAGCGCTCCCGCGTAGGGGGCCCGCCCGCCTCCAATGGACAAAGGTTGAAAACACATGGCGAGTGCCGCAACACACCCTGCGACAGGACTTCAGTTCCTCATCATGCAGGCCTGAGGGGCCGGCGCCGGCCCTGGCCCAGATTGCTCGCCGCGCTGCGTGGTGCACAGAAACCCATACCTACTTCGAGGTTCAGGGCGGGCACTTAACGGCGGCACTTAGAACTTAGAACCCGAATCACACCTGTACCTATAGCAGCCTTAGCCCCCAGCCCAGCCTGGGCCCGGGCCCGGGCCCCGGGCCCCCTGGCAACTAACTATACCATTACCATTATACCCTACGGTACTAACCCTACGCTAAGCTATACAAGTCCCTTAGTAGGTCAGAATAAGTAGACTCTTGACTCAATCAAGATTCAGTGTAGAAAGTCGCAGTGCGTGCCATTCCCATGAGTCCCATGGTGATTTGCTGATTTGCCGGGGTCGGTGTGAGTTGCACAGTGAGGTCCGAGCGAAGTGCATGGCGTGCGATCTGGTTCACAGTGCACAGCCGAGTCAGCCGAGGCCGAGGCACATTTCATGGAAGTTCATGGTACCTAATTTACCTAATTCACCAATCATAATTGTACGATTTATAACCCGCTCATTCCACTGCGATAAGTCACACTGCCTAAAGGGCCTAAAGTGTCAGCGCACTATGCCAGCTGTGCGTTGCAGCCCGGTTCACGGCGCAGTCGAATCGTGGATAGTGTCAGTGGTCAGTGTACCTAACTCTAAACCCTCAACTCCTCCCTAGTGACCTGGTGACCTGGTGCCCTGGTTAAGCCTGGTTAGCCTGGTTACTTGAAACCTATATCCCCTGAACCCTCATCTCTCGTCCATCGCGTCACCATCGCGGTCACATGTCGCCGAAGAAGGCGCGAAGCTCAAAGCCTTCGAGTAGCAGCCGAGGGCGTGGGCGTGGGCGGGACTCTGCGCGGAAGGGCCGAGGAAGCCGCAAGCGCAAGGTCAATGAACCCATTGGCCACACGGGTGAAACCGAGGCTGGTGAGGCGAGGCCTTCGGTAGACGGAGTCGGTCGGTAGTCGGTAGCCGGTATAGTGGTAGTGGAGTCTGAACGTTTTGATGATTGATTGTTCGGAGGCTTCGGACGCTCTGGCACTGGAGGAGCGGCCTGCCGACGCAGCTGATGAGAACCCGTCCTTGCCGAAGAGGGTAGTCAGGCGTGTCACGATCGTGGACGGACCCTTGACACAGCGAGACCTGACGCCCGAAACCCTGGCCGAATTCTTCAGACCAAAGGGCAAATCTAAAGCCAAATCGGGCAAAGTGGGCGAAGGCGAAGGCAAGGAGACTGAAATGACTGCAGCGACAACAGCGTCGGCGTCATCGACGGCCCCGACCCCGGCCCGGGCAGCTGCCGAGCCGGACCCGGACCCTTGCTTGGAGTTCGGAGTTGGGAAGTTGGTAGTTGATTGAGTTGATTGGGAGCCGGGAGTCGTATGAAGTCTGCAGGAGTCGCTTAACGGTTGATGGCTACTTGGAATTTTGGAATTTGGATGTGGGGCTGTGGCAAGCCACAGCTTCGCAGTGTCATCATGTCGTCATCATGCCATCGTGCGTCTTATAAATAGGATGGCGACCATGACCGGGACGGCCCCGGCCGGCTGCGGCAACGGCGGCGTCGTCGCCGTCACCGTCGTCGCGGTCGGCGCCACGCCGACGCCGCCGACGGCGCAGCCGCCACCGCAGCCGCATGCCTTAAACATCGTTGAACAAAGTTCCTTAGCCTTAGCCTGAATCTCGCCCGAGATTAATCAAATCTATCCTCCTCTGCCTCTCCTAGCCGCCATCGCCCAAGGCGCCCACTGCAGATGCAGATCGGGAAGATCAGATTCAACTTCGACTT